ATATAGCTAGAACATTAATAAGATGGCTACGAAATATGCTACTAAGATGAATCAAGTACATTTGTGAATTAAATTAATATTAATAATAATATCAATCAACTGAAAATTTTTATCATTAACAGTTACAACATTTATATGTATAACAATGAATGTAAAGAGCTAATTAACAAACCATCAGTTTCACAGCTGGTAACATAATCGAGACTGACTTAAAGAAAAACTGAATACAAGACAACCCAGCCATAAATACTAGCAGTATTAACAAATCCAGATAGTACTATTAGAAGTACCAGCAGGACTAAGCAGAAAACAGCAAGTAGTAGATAGTATATCATGTCTTTAATACTACTACATAAGTGATACAAATGCATTAGAAGATCAATGCAATAAATAACAAATACTTGCTTTTCATCAGTTATTCTCACCTATTACTAGCTGATATACATATAACAGTAGAGAACAATTACTGTCATATTTGCTAAATACTAATGCACTGAGTATCACTACGACTATTAGGAATACCAGCACTATTAGAGAAAACAGCGCAGCAACGCCCTCGCATTAATTACCTCGTTCTTCTTGTACTAATAGCACTTTCCGACAATGACACAAAATTTGTTACTAGCACAATGGAGTAAATAACAAATATCAGCAACACACCATTAACCGTTAGTATTTTGGCACTTCAAGTACCACTGGCTAGTAATACCTAACTCGGGGAGTGCTAGAAGTTCAAAGAATACTTGTCAAGTATTCAATGCTTGTTATTCACTACAATGTTATAACAGTACACTCAGTACCACTGGATAAATGCTCTGAGTACTACAAACCTCGGCAAACAGCGGAAAGTCCGCCGTTGCAAGTTCCAAGCCCGACTGAGAAGTGAAGAGGCTTGCAGAGGGAAGCGAAGTATTCTAAAAATTTCGCCACCTGCCCTTCATCGAATTGACGTCATCGAAAATTGTACCGGCTCAGCCATCGATCGGGTTACAAACGACCGCGCAGGCTGTTATGGGACTGAGACAGAATGAGAAAAGTAGGCGATCAGAACGTGATTATCGCCCTCTGCCAGACGGGGGCGTAGCAGAACAACAAAGGATGATGAATATCGACGGAACGACGACGAAGATACCAGTCAGCAAAGTAATAGATACTCGTTCTGAACTAAGGCGGTTGGCAGCGAGATGCCATTAGAATACGTCAGAAAAGGCCCCACGAGAACGACACCACCAGTGGGAGCTTACAATCGGAAATTGGAACATTTCCTCACTCAGAGGAAAAGAATAAGAGTTAGCTGATAAGGCCATAAAGTACCAAATCGACATTGTTGTACTCTCGTCAACGAAGCGCCAAGGCTCTGGAATCCTGAACCTCAGCGGGTGGAGGTCAATCTTACCCAGTGTCGATATCACGACGCGCGTTCAGGACGGTACTGCTGTTCTGGTAGAACCCAACCTGGCAGAGAGAATCATTGATTGTAAGCCTGTCAGCAGAAGAGGGACAGTCCTAGGAGAGAAGCTACAATAGGCAAAAGCGATGACCCTGATAGAGGTCTATGCGTCCAATTTTGAGGGAGAATATGATTCCTTCCTCGAGGAAGTGGAGAATGCTCTGTACGAAGTGCCTGAACCCCTCATATTGATGGGCGATTTTAATGCACATGTCGGAGTAGACGCTGAAAAGTGGAACGGCGTGATTGGAAAAAAACGGTACTAGCGACCTCAACAATGACGGCATGAAGTTGTTGCGGTTTTGTGCAAACAACGGATTGTCCATTATGAACACCTTCTTCAAGCATCG